TATATATATGTTTGTATCTGTATATATACATTATATGGTTTATATATATATTTTATAAATATATGATATAGATGAAGTATGTTTCTGTATTACATGTGCATTATAGTATAAAAACTATACCACATTGTTTCCGATGTTTCCTTAATGTAAAAGTTAATGACATACACTTCAAGTACATCTGCATGAATATCTGTAATAATAATATTGATGACAATTACTACTGACATGTAATGGGTGATTGGCAGGCCTTATTTTAAACATTTTTATGTATTAATTCATTTAGCTCTTATAATAATCTAAGTGGTAGGTTATTCTGTTATCATTTTATGGATGAGGGAACTAAGGCACAGTGAAGTTAACTTACAAAAGGTCACAAAGTTACTAAGGAGTGGAGCCTGGTATTCATATCTAGGCCCTTTGGATCAGTTTATTTATTTAACAAAAGAAAAAACTTAAATTGAGAGAACCATATACTTTGTCTGTCATATATATATATATATATATATATATATATATATATATTGCATATATGTTTAATAAATGTACAACCTATATGTTATAAACTGTCTTCCAGAAATAAATGTAATGACATACTCAGCATATTACCATTCTGCTACTATCCTGAGATTAATTTTAAGATTAAAAATGTATGCATACATAGTTTCATTTTTTTCTACAAAAGTTATACATATCTAGTACATAAAATTAAGAGACTTTAAAAAATCTTTAATGTCATTATTCAAATAGGACTTTATATACTGTACTTTCAAATTTCTTTCCAGTATAACTAATAATACCTGTATATTGTCTAGAAGTAATACTGCCAAAGGTAGGAAAAAGAATATATTTGTTTATATGGCCAAAGTTGTGGATGAAAGATTAATATAAATCCCACATAGGACATGAGTTCTTATTGTTTCCTGACCTATCTGTATTAGTTAGCTTTCTTGTTGCTGTGACAAATACCTGACACCCACAGCTTAACCACTTACCTGTCCAAGTATTTAAATATGGGATGACCAAAAATTACACATTTTTTCATTAATTTTTATAAGACAATGTAATAGGAAATATAAAAATGACAATTTTATCAAGTTCATTCAATAATTTTTCTGCATATGTTATATCTTAAAACAGTCAATACACAATGCAACGTTACAATCTGGAGAGTAGTATCTAGTCTCTTTCCAAATTCTTTTTACATTATTGTCGTCTTTGAACAACACATTTTACACTGTTGTGTTGATATAATTTAAAAACATGTCTATCCACTAAATGTAATGATAAGGACATTGATGACATGTGTCCTGGTTGGCGTTTCACTATCCTGTAGTTTTTCAATTATTTGGTCTGTTAGACCTAATCTAAATTGTAAATGATTTTTTGAACCCCCTTGTTTTCAATAGCAAGTGAGCCCCATACTGTTAAGTCCGGAATATGCATACTATTTTACAGTAATATTTTTTTCCTCACTTTTTGGTTACAGGATAGCTTGTTAGATGTTGGTCAAATCTGTCAGCATCACTCACAGAATTATTATAATCATCGATCACTATTGGAATTGTTTTAGTTTTGTTTCTTCTTTTAAGTTCTATCATTCCTGTATTATGAATAGTTGACAATAAGGAGATGTCTTTTTTGTCTTTCCATTTCATAACAGACTTTTCCTCTCATGCTAACATTTCTCACTTTCTCAGTTTTTTCTTTTGCATATCTTTTGGCACTTCCTTCCTATTCAGTACCAGTGTCCCAAATATGTCCCTTTTGTATGGTAAAAGAATACCACTGAATTTTGGAGAAGTGTAAAAATTATATCTGATGTACTTACAATAAGAGTTTTTATAGGTTGTAGCACAAACTTATTTTTCACAAATAAAATACACACTAATAATTGAAAATAATGAGAACTTCTTAGATTTCATTAGAAACAAATATCAAGGCAAATACAATGTGCTAAATAAAAAAGTATGCAAAAAATAGTTGATATAAAATAACATGTACATGTGTATCTCCTGGAAACAAGAATTGACTGGTTGAAATAACACCTGCCCTAGTGATAATCTAGATAGTCAGTACATAAACAAGTGTGCTGCCTGAGTGATATTCAGTGTAAACTATTAAGTGGCTAAAGGAGAAGAGGTTTATCTGACTCATGGTTTCAGAGGATTCAGTCAGCTGGCCCCAAGACAGAAACATCATAGTGGAAAGGTATGGTAGAGCAAAGCTGCTTAGTTCATGGTAGTTGGAGAGTAGAGGAGAGGAATAGTGCCAGAGAGGAAGGGGCCAGGGAACCAGATACAGACCCTCAAGGTAATACTTCCATGACCTACCCAGACACAACCATAAGTGTGTTTTACAAATCCACTAGGTGGTTCCTAGCCAATCAAATTGTCAATTAAGCTAAACTGTCACATTCCACCTTTTGTTAGCTTGATATCCAAACACATCTCCTTAAATGATACTTAATCTCCACATAAATGCAAAGTTATAATCTGATTAGCATGATACAACTATCCCACGTACAGCAGAAAATGCACTAATGGCCTCCCCAATGTCTCAACAGATCCAACATTACTTAAAAGTCTAAGTCCACATTCTTCTCTGAGACTCAAGGCAAACTCTTAGCTGTAAACCCTTAAAAATTAAAAAGCAAGTTACATAATCCCAATATACAATGGTGTATTGGGTAAACATTCCCATTTCAAAAATGAATAGGGGATGGAAAATAATAGGACCAAAAAAAGACCTAAATCCAGTAGCACAGACATTAAGTCCTGGAGCTCCAAGTCTGGCATGTTTCAGAGGGCTTGGGTGGCTTCACCCCTATATGCTTGTTGGTTGTAATCAATATGGCCTCTCTTAGGGATTTGCTTGAAGCCTGAGGCTTTCCTCAGCAGATGTTCCACATTTCTGACATCTCTGAATTCTGGGGTTCTCCACTGAACTTTCAGCTTTATTCTCACAGCTTTACTTACCTACCTCTCAGGGGCACATTGCCTGGCCTCCCAGACTTTCCACTGAAATCTAGGCAGAAATCTTCATAATCCCACAACCCTTGCATTCTACATGCCTGCAAAACCAGTATCCCATGAATAACATCAAGGTCTGTCACCAAATTAAAGCAGTATCCAGGGCCCCATAGGCCATGGCTACTTCACTCTCTTAATGCCTAATGGCTAAGAATGGAGTAATTAATACCAGGGAAACAATTCGCTAGACAGCATTTCTCGAGCAAGGGTTCTAGGGGCTCCCTTCTCAAATGAAAGGTTTATACTTTGCAACCTTGAGTCTGTGAAGGATAAAGTCTTGCTGATGCCTGAAATGCCTTCAATGCATATTTCTTTTTGTCCCTGTTCAGAGGTTGGTTTCTTTTTAATGGTTCCAATTTCTTCAACAGTCATACCTTCTTTGGTCCTAACTTCACATGTGGATTTTCAAGTCAAAATTTAAGTTTTTCATATATTTTTGCTCTACTTTTTGCTCCTGAGCTTCACTATAAAACTGGCTAAAAGCAGCTAGTACCTATGCCACAGCCTGAATACTGGGCTGACTTGAAATATCCTTCACTAGATCAGTAAGTCTACAGCTCTTAAATTCTGCCTTCTGCAAAGTCTCAGAACATGGGCAAAATGTAGTGAAGTCCCTTGTCAGAATGTAACACAAATGGACTCTAGTACAGTTCTCAAATGAGTCCTCACCTGAAACCTCATGAGCCTGGCCTTTACTATTTGCATTTCTGTCGGCATTCTGGTTAGCAGGAATTAGCATGCTTAGTTCTTGGTGGCTAGAAAGTAGAGCAGGGGAAAAGCATCAGAAAGGAAGGGGCCAGGGACCACAAATAGATCTCAAGGTGACACCTCTATGACTTAACTAGACATAATGATAAATGTGTTTTACTAATCCCCTTGGTACCCAAGCCAATCAAGTTGACCATTAAGCATAACTGTCACATTGTCTATCATTATATCCATATAAATGTGTCTGTAATAAGTCAAAAAATGACATCTCATTACTGTTTTAATCTTCATCTTCTAATATATTTGGTAGTCATATGTGTGTTTGCCTTTATGTAAATATTTTTTTCTTTTTTCTTTTCAATTTTATTTATGGTGATTTGTAACATGGAGGAAATTTGAACTTTTGTATATCAAAGTCATGAGTTGATTTTTTTTCTTCATGACTTCATTTTCTTTTTGATATAGAAATACAGTCCCCAGCCATATTATTAAAGAAATTCATCTACATTTTGTTTTTGCAATTCTATAAATTAAAAACTTTTCATTGAAATCTGTAATCATCTTGATTTTATTTTAGCATATGAGATAATTTTTATAGTAATATTTCTCCTTTACATGTTTTCCAAAATAAAAGTACATGTATTTTTATATATTCTGGCTACTCTTTTATGATAGACAGGTTGAGCATCCCTATTCTAGAAATCCCTTGCATTTCAGATAATGGATACTCAACTATATTTCTAGAAGATGAATTTCTGTGTAAAGGAGAGGAGCTCAGGACTGACTATGTTAGATTTGAGATGTTCATTGGATATAAAATAGAGATTTTAGGATGCTAACAGGATATTATGTATTTTTCTAAATATTTATTAGCTATTTTTAATCATTTATTCTTTCAGATAAAATACAAATATTTTTCAGAATTTGTCACAAAAAAGTGTTTGGAAATTCTACTTGTAATATATTTTAACTTAAGTTAAATACTCTAAGTTTTATTAAATATATATAAATTACTTATATATGTATATACTATATATTTACACAGTGGAATATGAGTAAATTTTTATAGGAAAGGGCTTTAATATGTATAAAAATATATATTACATTTTTCCTGAGAAATAATATCCCTACTCCAAATAGTTATTTTAAAAAAATTAACAAATACATTCAGAGGGAAAAAAGATGATAAAAGGAATAGATTCTTTTCTGAGGTTCTTTCAGTTATTCAGATTTAATCATTTTGATGTATTAAGGGAAATAGCAATCTACCATATGAAAAAGGCTTCATAGTATTAACATTCTGTTATAGTTTAAATCTGAAATGCCTCCCAAAGGCTCATGTGTTGAAAGCTCGGTCTCCAACTGGTGGTGCTACTGGAAATGGTGGAAACTCTAGGAGGTAGGTATTGGAGGGAGGAGGTTACTGGGGATGTGCCTTTGAAGGGTATATTTTATTTCTGGTCCTTTATTCTTTTTCTTCTTCCTGACTGTCATGGGGTAAAGAAGCTTTCCTCCACCATGCCCATCCACCATAATGTTACTGACTTGCCACAGGCCTAAAAGAAATAGAGCCAGCTGATCATGGACTGAAACCTCTAAGACCATGAACCAGGTTGGTTCTTCAGGTTGGTTTTCTCAGTGATTTTATCACAGCAACAGAAAGTTGACTAACGCACATTCTAAATTAATAAGACGTAACACAGGTTTTCCTTGACCCTTAAAAATTACAAAACTAAAAGTCTGGTAATAAAAAATAAAATATACACTATAATGAGGAGAGAGAAACTTATCCAAGGAATTTACCAGTAGATTACCAATACACACTGAAATTTCATAGAAGAAATGAATAAGTAAGTGTACCTCTGTTGAGTGCTCCATATTCTGTGTGGAAAACACCAACTAGTTTTGTGTAGCCTCGATTGACATGGGTATGAACTGCTTTTTTAAATACATCACCCCACAAAGCTGGACCACCAGGTTTCATCTGAAAAGTAGCCAGTTCATAGACACCTAGAACAGGGAGACAAATAATTAGAGAAGATATTCAAGCAATTTCTGATCACGGTTGTCTTGAGTGGAAGACTAATCTATACAGATGTGGAAGATCATATTTAGATAGACATATTGATTATATTTGCACTATTTTTGTTAGCATATATATTTAGAAAACTTTTGCCCTTGTTTAAGAGCTATTAAACTTTACAGATGACAAAAAGGTCTGAAAACTATATACATATAAGCTATTAGCTAAAGTGTTTTTATCTAAAAATTTGTTAATAAAACAAATATGGAAAATTTGTAATGAAATAGGATTTTTGAGCTAAGTCTATACTTTTAGAAATGAAATGAATAAAATAATTTTTTAGGAGCCAGGGGATATAGTTCAGTGGTAGAGTACTTGCCTAACGTGTGAGGCCTTGGTTTGGTCTCTATCACCATAAATAAATGAATAAATCTAATCTTCAATTTTATTCTTCTGCCCAATTTTTACCATTCCTTTCTTTGTATAAATTTCCCCTTAATTTTCCAATTCTAATAGGAAGAATAAGGAAAAAATGAAACTGAAGTGATGCCTGTAAGTTTTAAAACACAACCCTAAAGAAATGGTCTTGTTAGCCCTAAAAATCCAAGTACATACCTGTAATTTATTTTATCTTCTGAATAGATGGATAGGGCCAGGAGGGAGAAAGAAACTAGAGGACAAATAGATATGAGAGGTAAACATGCAAAGGTTATCAAGAATCATGAATGATAGATAATACAGGAAGAGAACCAACATTAGACACTGAGAAGCCAACTATTTTACTTTGATACTCCTGAGAGATGAAGGGAGATCTAAGCTGACAGAATCCAATAAGACTTCAAATTTCTTTGTAGTGTAATTCAAAAGTACAGTACAAAGTTCATAATAGGGGAAATAAAATAAATTTAAATTAGTTTATAGTTTTTAAATCTGACTTTTGTTTAATATGGGATTGAGGTAATAGTTTAAATCAGCAAGAAATGAAATCAATAAGACATGCCTTAAAGAATTATTTTCATTTTCTTTTTTTGGGTACCGGGGATTGAACTCGGGTTCTTGCGCTTGCACAGCAGGCGGTGAAACCACTGAGCTAAATCCCCGGCCCAAGAATTACTTTTAAACAGAAGCAAGAAAGAGGAAGAAACAAAAGTCAGAGTACAGTAACACAGCTTGGTAGTTTTCAAATAATTCTCCCTAAAACTCAATTTTATAAGTAAAGATACATTTCATGATTTTGGATTAGTTACAATTTGTGGAAAATATTTAAAAGTTGATACTATTTTAAAATTATGACAATTTCATACACTATCCCTTACATAGCCACACAAAGAACTTGCCCTTATTGTGCAATTTTCAACCTTAACTGAACACACAGACTTTTTCCATACATAGATTCATTTTGCAATCTGTAAAAACTCAATTTGGAAAAATTCTTAATTCTCTCATCTTTTCAAAGTAAACTAAGAGCTTCAATTTAATTTACAATATGCTGCTATAAAAAACAAGAATAATTTTATTTTTTCCAGTATTACTTTGATTTTTATTACTTGAGATTTTTAGTATATTTTATTCATTAAAACTCATGCGTCTGCCAAGGAAGACCTACCTTCTTTCGCAGGCCTTTCTATTTTGCACCATGGGACCAGATAAGTAATCTCACTCTCTTGTTTATCAATGAGAACCAAATTTGGAATGAGGAACTGTTCTTGCCATTCCTTATCTTTGGCCAGTGCTTTCCGGACTGCAGTTCGATGAGCAAAATTATCTATGGGAGAAAGAATTAAGAAAAGTGAAAAAAAAAAGTTAACATGAAATTCCCTGTATTTCTTTGGATTTCATTTAAATCAGCAAACATTCATCCATAGCACATTAGAACACTGTGTTATGTCCTAGGAGACTCCAACATGAAGAAATTTGACATATACCCTAAGTTGCTCATGATCTTAAGGGGAACAGAAATGCAAATGACTATTGTAACATCTTAGAATGGGCTTTGTAGGTTCTACTACTTTATAGGTAGCTGTGTGAATTAGGTTATTGTACCTTTCTGTCTCAGGTTCTTATTCTGTGAAATAGATACTACCACATAGGCCTCCAAGGTTACTGTGAGGATTAAGTAAATTAATACATGAAAAAAGCTTAAAAGCGTTGGGCACCTAGTTAATACTCATTGTATGCAGATTATTCATAACTCAACTGAGGTAGTTAACTGATAGTACCAGTTTATAGGAAGACTATTTACTTCAGTAGTGATAGGTGGTCAAGGTACACCTTGAATAAATATTAACATAAATGAAATTAAAACATATTTGGTAAAACTCTTCTTTGAAAACATAACTTTCAAAAGAAATAATGTTGATTCTCTTACCTATTGTCACCCATTCTTTTTCCCTGGTGTTTATTTTCTTCTTTCTAAATTACCCAAAAGGGTATGTACATTTACCAACATAACAACCTAGTACCATACTGTTAGAATCTCATGAAGGTAATAGTAAAAAGTTTTATTAATGGTAAAAAGTTTAGACCAAACACTATATGAAATCAAGTGCTGATGTAGCCTATTAAGGCTGGACAATGGAGTAAAAAACATTCTGTGGATTCTTGTAATTTATTATATTTCCTCAGGCGTAGGTCAGCTTCAATATACAAAGAACTCTCTCTTTACCTCCCAAGAGCAGTATCACAGGGAATTCAGTGAAACGCTAGTGCACAGAATTGAAACAAAAGTGGTCTCTAAACATAACAGAACTACTGACCCCCAGTGTTGAACGAGGCTTAAAAATTGTGAGTCCCTCTCAACCTCCATTTACCTAGAGCCCTTAAATGTTTGAATTAAGATGCTGATATGTAGCCCAAACTTTGTTAATAAGAAAAGATACTTTATTTTGTAATCTTAACCCATTCGGGCTTTCATAAGCACTATTTAAAATTTTTCATAAATCATCTTTCCAATAAACAATTAAAATTTTTTTTGAGAATTAGTCTAGTTCACAATTATGTAATTTGATGCATGAGAATTCATATTTCTCAGTTATGATAATTTAACACTTTGGGAGTTTTAGATGTGGGCCACTGGAAAGAATAAGCACTGAACTTGTTTTTTGGTATTATATTTCAAAAAATGTTTTATTTACTCTGTATATATCTATAGTAATATAAATGCAAAAGTCTCATGTAACTAACAAAATGAGAATCTCAACTGAACACTTAAATCTGAAAGACTCATACCGTATTTCCAAATATGAAATACTTTATTCATTCTGCCTCCAAATTCTACGCTCCAATATCCAACCAATTCAGAGTGAGCTGTCTGAAGATGAACATTTTTCTTAAAATTTTCCAGGAACTCAATCATTTTTGAGGGTTTAAGATAATAGGTACAAAATTCATAGAGTGTTCCATCCTTTTGTCTGGGCCCTGTAGCAAAAGATGAGCACACCTGAAGAAAGATAAGGCAAATTTAAATATTGAGGGTAAGATGGGACTTACTGTTATGTTACAGCAAGATCTGAGTCTGGAAACAAGTGGCACTCAGTAGATGCATACTTTGTTTTTCTCCTGTCAGTGCTCCACAAAATTGTGTTTATATAGTGATATCAATGAAAGTAATTATTTTTAAACATGTTGATTGCACAATTACTGTTTCCTAACATGTAGTTCACCTTTATCCAGTTTTTCATGAGAATTTGCTCAAAAGAAACCACTGTATCAACTCTAGTACAATCTGGATTCACATAAATGTACTGAGTTTTTCCTTATTAGGCAGTATTTCATCTTTAGTCAATAATAAGTGTTACCATTACACATTTAGAAGAATTATACCATATGCATGTCTTCTGGCAAGTAGAATAAAAATAGGTTCACGAGCAGAAAATTCTTAAGTTCTTAGAAAATGTTAATTGATATTCAGGTCATAGTATTTCCTATAGTCAGTGAAGTGAATCGCTGGTTAAAAATAGGACTGGGATGTAAATAATGCGTTAGGATGCTTTATGCTCTGCTTTTTAGTATAATGATGGATTGTATAAATGCTGGAAAAGGAAAATTCAGTCAGAATTATCTGAATCATTATTAATTTCTTTTTTTTTGCTTAAATTCTTTTATTGGTACATTTTAGGTATATAATACATTTACATTTATCATTGGGTGCTTGTACCTGTACGTGATGTATCTTGGTTCTTATTTTTTCCCCATTACCTGTGCGCCCTTCACTCCCTCCACCCTTCCCTATTTACATAGACTTCATTTCCATTTTTTTCTTTTCTCATAATTTTTCCTTTCCATTCTTTCCTTTCCCCATCTCCTCCCACCACCCCTACCCCTTTAGACCTTTTCCTATTTCAAAGTATCAATTATTCATTATTAATCCTTTTACTCCTTATTTACACTTTCAGTTTCTCACACATGTGTGTCCTATTTATTTCACTTAAGAGTATGGCCTCAATATGCATCCATGTAGCTATAAATGACTCTAGTTTCTTGTTCTTTATGGCTGAGTAGTACTCCATTTTATTAAAAAAACACATCTTCTTTATCCAGTTTCCAGTTGATGGGCACTTGGGCTGTTTCTGAGCTTTAGCTATTACAAACTGTGCTGCTGTAAACATGGGTGCACATATATCTCTGTGGTATGTGAATCATTATTAATTTCTAATGAAAGATGCCATATGAAGGGCATTTAATGCATCTGATTGTACTGAGTTCATGGAAATATCCTATATGAACCATTAGCTCTTTTTTTATTAGTCATATGCTCACTATGTAAATTTCTAATTCTTGCTCTGAGTTTAAATTTAACTTTCATGAGGAAACACCTTGCCAGAAATTATCCTCTGTGTGTCTGTGTATAGAAATGCATGTATACACAACACACTCATATGGCATTCTAGTTTACAAATCCATCTTAACTTTACAGTAGTTAGCATGTGCCCATTTACCTGAAGCTAATTATACCAGGAAAATTTGTTAGAGCAGATGTTACCTCCAGTGCTATGGACAAATTAAGAGTTTATACTGACCACCTGGTGTGTCTAGACAGAAAGCAATAGGCTTTTTCTTAGGATACATTTTATTTAAGAAGACTACATGCTCTTTAACTGTATGTCTTATTGTCCAAATGACTAAGCTAGCCATAAAACAAATGCAGCTGCTCTGTGTTTGGTGGATACTCTTTTTGTGCATTTTAACCAAACTCTAATAATAGAATGTTAGTAGAACAAACAACTTCCTAAGATATATAGTTTTAAAATATTGTAAGTAAAATGTATCAGAAAAAGGGGCCAATGGGGCATTTATAGCAATCCTTTTAGGTTGATCCCAGGGCCTTGTATTTGGAGGATGAAAGACACCTAATTGAAAGAAAAAAAAGACAATACAGAAGGGAACCTGAAGTTTAAGAAGGAAGTGTGTGTGGGGGGGTGAAATCATCCGTTACTTGATGCTGCCTTATCTCCAAGTTAGGACTCATTCTCGCCAGCAATGCCTAACAATTCACTTAGAGAACCCTGGTGGAGATGTGAAAGCTCAGAGGTTCAGTGACAAGTTGTATGGAAATCATCCTTGGCCCTGCCTATCCAGAGAGAGAATCAGAAAGACAAAGCCGCACCATCTGGGCGCGTGGCCTGTGGCCTTTAAGGGCCTTCTTCAGTCTTCTGCAGAAGGTCTCCCTCTAGAGATTAGCCCCCTTGGTAACTTGCCCGTTGGGAAAGGAGTAAAAGCCTAAACATAGAAAGGAAAAATAATTTCAGGGTGTAGACGATACGGGTAAGCCAAAGCGCGAGAGTTAACGGCTGGATCACGGGGCCCATTTTGTAAATTTCTCATCCTAGGCTGAGTTTTTTGGGCCGAGTCCTCCCGCTCCGGAACCTGGGCCGCCTCTTGCAGTTTCTCCACAAAATGCTCCGTTGCGCCTTTGACTTAGAAGGGGAAGGCAGATTTGGTCGCTAGCGGGTGGTGGACCAGACTCCATCTATCTTCTATGAGATGTGCGGCAGCTCAAAAACCCAAATCAATAGGAAGCGCGACAGCGCCAGGACCCGGAGAGTACGTGACAGTCGCTCCCGGAGCCGCAGCCCCATGGTGCCAGCGACAAACGCAAGAGCTGACGCTCGGCCAGGCCCCCGGGACAGAAAGGCCCCAGGCCACGGTGCCCAGGAGGAGACCGGGAGGTGACCCCCGCCGAAAGGGTTTCCTAGCAGTCCCCAATCCCTCACGCACGGCCCTGCCGCGGAGCTCCCGGTTCGCGCCGGAACCAGAGCTGCGGGTCTCGGCGCTGTACGCGAGACCGCGGAAAGGAAGTGTGCGCCCCCCGGCCCCACCCAGGCTGCTTGGGCGCGTCCCCGCCTCCGGTACCTGAGGCGCGCGCGCCCGTGGGGCCAGCGCCCAGGTCAGGCCGCTTCGGAAGGCAAGCATGGCGCAGCTCCGAGCGCTGAGGCCGGCGGGGTCCTGAGAGAGGCTCCTCTAGCAGCTTCCAGACTGGACAGGCTAGGGGAAGGAACAGTGGGCGGGGCACGCAGGGGCGGGGCTTGGCAGGTTGCCTCCGCCCCCCAGGAGGCTTGGTCAGCCGGAGTCTGTGATGTCGGCGCTGACCGTTCGGTTCCCAGTGAGCACTGTGTAGAATTCCCGTGTTCCGTGCGGAAGTGTGCAGGAAGGGCGGGTGTGGGGAGGCGGGATGTGTAATGCTTTGCATCTGAAATCATGAGATTGAAATCAGCTAGTTCTGTAAGACTTAAAACAGCAGACCCCCTGATGTAGTTCTTGTCAGATTGTTCCCAGAATGACTGGGCATGTTTGTCATGTTTTGTGAATTTTCAGTCAGAGTATCTATTAACTTGTGGGATGTGGATTCTGATCTCTTCATAATACTGTTCCAAAATAAACTTCTCTGTTTGAATCTTTTAATGTTCACATTAGATAATTGATTATTAATGTATGTTAATCTATACTATATTAATGTTTACATTATTCTTGCTAATAGTTGAGTTATTGTACACACTGAAGTAACATTGGGACTAGGGAATTATTACAAGCATTACCTGTATTACTTGTGTCTGTATCAGTTGTACTTTGTGAAAGTATTTTAAATCATTTGTTCAGATAAAGTCTTTTTAAATGACTAATTCTGGAGGAAGTGCCTTAGATTTTTCAGAAGAGACATATCCATTGATAACCAAGCAAGACTAAAAGTATCTCTTGTGTCTACTGGATCTATAGCATTAAATATTTTCTCTTAGACATTTTTCATATTAGAGTTAACGATTCATTTAATCATTCAATCCATAGTTATTAAATTTCTTCTATGCTCCATGTACTTTTCTAGAAATTTGAATATAGATGTGAACAAAAAGTATAGCTCCTTTCCGCTTGGAAGTTACAGTGGGCACAATACACATAAATTGTGAGAAAAACTATCAGCCCTCTATATCTGCAAGTCCAGTCTCTGCAGATTCAACTAAGTGTGGAAGGAAAATATTAGGGTGTTATAACTTGTAGCTAGATGTACTCCCAATGTCTCATGTGGCCAAAGGTGGAGCTTTTTTGGAGGTGGCTGAATATAGAGTGTGTGATTGATTCATGGTACAATGCTAGGATTCAGGGTGTTGGAATTAAGGGTGAGTGATTGCTGAATTGGTCCATTGATTGGTTTAGCACCACCTTGATCCTGGTAGCCTGGATACAATCAATATAAGGAACAGTAAGGCTTGTCTCTTTCTCTTGTTTTTGCAACTTTATGAGCACCATGACTTGTTCTCCTCTGTGATGCTCCTATGCCATGTGCCACTCTGCCTTGGAGCCAGCCAACTATGGACTGAAACCTTTACGAACTATAAGCCAAATAAACCTTTCCTCTCTTAACTCGTGAATGTTGGGTATTTTGTCTCAGCAATGAGAGAAAAGTAATTAAGACAAAATTTGATACCAGAAGTGGGGTCATTGCTGTGACATTACCTGACCATGTAGCTCAAGACCTTAAAGAATTGGCTTGTGGGACAGGGAAAAGTTTGGAGATGCTGGGTAAAAAAGCAGAGCTGGAATGCCTTAGGGTATACTGTATGGGAGATTCTGGTCAGAGCTCAGAAGAAGATAAAGACCAGGCTCAGGAAGTTTCTACTGGGCAGGAGGACTGCATTGGCTGTTGGACTCCAGATGATTTGTGTTATGCCTTGGCAGAAGTTTGTTTGCATTTTGCTTGTGACCAGAGACTTTGCCTGAGATTAAGGGTGGTAGACTAATTAATCTGGCAGAAGAAATCTCAAGGCAGTCCAATGTTGAGGCCATGGCATAGCTGCTGTTGAGGGCTTTTAGCCAGATTTATGTTGAGAATCAAGAGCAAAGAGCCCAGCAGAATAATTTAAAATGCTTTGAGTTTGACCAGAAAGGAAACTCCAGTAAAGCTGTGGACTGCAAAGAAAGAGCAGAGGAGATCTTGATTGCTGAGAAGGAACAGGAGAGTAGAAAAATGGCCTTAGGGCAATCACCAGAAGCAGCAGGATTTCTCCCTTTGCAGCTTCAAAATTTCAAGAGTGAAAGACTTTGCTTTGAGAAGAGAACTCCAGAGCACTATGTTCTAGGATGGCAGCATCCTAGAAAATTTGTTCCTTGGGATTGGGTTCAGAGTACTCAGTGATCCAGGCACTTGACCCCTATAGCCAAAAGAGAAGGAAGCCTGGCTACTACTACAGCTGACAGCATACCTTGGCATCATCCATGTGGTGCTGGATTTAGGTACAAGTAGAATGCAGAAGTTGTAGGTTCAGGAAGGCTTCCACCCAGATTTCAGAAGAGGGCCTGGGAGGCCAGGCAGTGTGTCCCTGAAATGGCAGTGTGTGAAGCTGTGAGTGTGAAGCCAAAGGTTTTTTGGAGACCCCAAAAGTTTGGAGAAGCCAGGAACATGGATCCTTTGAAGAAAACTGCAAGGAGAGAGCAGAGCCAACCCCAGAGAGAAGCCATGGGAGCTACAACCACCCTCAGTGCCTTAGGGCAGGCCACCTAAACTCTTTGGAATTCACAACTTGCACTGATTGCTGGGGATGTTGAAAATGAAACTGTGGGATTTAATGTTTGCCTTGCTGGATTTTGGTCTTGCTTTGCTCCCATTCCTTTGTATACTCGTATTTGTACCTTTTGGAATGGAAATGCCTATCTTGTGCCATTGAATGTTGGAAGTGTTTACCTTTCTTTCCTTTTTTTTTTTTTTTGTATTAAATTTTTTCATTGGTACATTGTAGGTATACAACACAGTTACATTTCTCATTGGGAACTGTACCTTTACATAATGCATCTTGGTTCTTATTTTTCCCCCATTCCTAGCCCTCCCTTCACGCCCTCCACCCCTCCCTATTTACAAAGACTTTATTTCCATTTTTTCCATTTCTCATCATTTTTCCTTTTC